GTTAAAGAGTGACTAATGGATGGGAAGAGGGGCATGTGATCCGGCGGGCCCTGAAGCTCTTAAAGGGCGGTTTACTCAGTGGAATGGGGGGATGAGCTGAATTTGGGGATGGATTGGGGTGCCCTGGACTCTAAAGTGGCCTCAGAAGGAAGGAAAACGGAGGTAGAAAGGCTGTGTGGAGGTGTTAAAGCTGCTGTGGTCTCCATGTGGAAGTTACCTGGGTGTTTGGGAAAAAACTTTGTGTCTGCTTGCAAACTAGGGGTGTCTCTAAATACTTTGACTTTAGGGGTGTCTTTTGGCTTTATAAAGGCTCTCTGTCACTGTTCCAGAAAAAAAGCAGGTACAGGTTATCAAGGAAACTGCACCCCGAGAAAAATGTGGGAAAGATGCAATATAATGGTGAAAAACAGAAACCAGGAGTGTTAGTGGTGCAGTGAGCCCAGTGGCTGTGGAAGAATGTTGTGAAATTGCTGCTGAATTGTGGGGTTTGAGTCATTAGTACCACTTGCATCTTTTAAACCATCTCTAACAGCTTTGCTGCTGTGTAGGGCACTAACCAAAGCCTGACCCTCTTGTTAGGGTTGTGTCCCTCCACTGGGATGGATGCAGGAGAGCAGAGTGTTTTGTTTCTGATATTGTTCACAGATATTACTTGGTTAAGTTGTAGTTACTATTTTTTCTTGGTGGTGCAACATCAAATCCAGAAACTTCAGGTTTGAAACTTGAAATCCAAGCGAAGGTCTTGATATCAACAGTTGGGGGGAAAAAAACTTGCATGGAATTTTTGAACGCATAAATGGTGATAAGAAAACTTTGTCACAGTTTTCCTTTCATCTTCCCCTCCTCCTGCAGCTCTATATTGGATTATATTGGCAAATCTGCATCTGCAGAGGGAGTAAGGGAATAGCAAATAATACCATGTGCTTTGTAGGCTGATACAATGCGAGAGAAGGTCTCTCTTGAGGAGTTCAGGAGTTTGCTTTGGAGGAGAAGTGGTTCACAGCAGAAGATGCTTTCCCACTTTACTCATGTGTTGATAATACAAATAAAACTACCTGCACTATGTGCATGGCTTTGCAGCATAATATAAAGAGTTTTTTTCTGTGATGTTTCTTGGGGGAGCAGCAGAATTGAACCTGAAAGTTACTCGTGAAGATACTATGTAGGTCCACACTGTTCCTGGTTTGTGTCAAGAAGCTCCTTCTTTTTCCAGGAATATTGAGTTTCTTTTTGAAGTAACAGTATCTCAAATAGACTCTTATAACCCATGGCTTTAAAAAAAAACAAAACAAAACTTTTAATTACAGTTGAAGAAAATCTTAAGTGATGAAAATACCTTTAATTTCACAATTTCAGTGCTAGTTTGGTTCTGAAAACATTTAAGTTTTCAAATTTTTTTTTAAGTATTAGTTGCTAAGCCTTGTAGATGCATGGGGTGTGTAAAAAGGAACTCTGTTAAGTTTGTGTAATGTCTACAAGAGTATATCACAGTTAGCACAGGCTGTGGTGTGGTTCCTCTTGGAGTCGGCCTGAAGCCTGTGAGAGTTTAACCTTTCAGCAGCAGGGAGCTGGGTTAGGTATGCTGACAGGTGCTGCTCGTTTTTCTTGTGTGTTCTTGCCAGGGCGCTGCTTTCCTGACCTGCGGTATCATTTGTTGTCCCTGGTTTTGTACAGTTTGCAGTTCTGCCACTGGGTTTCTGTCCCATTCTCCTTCTTCTCAGTGTGACCTTTGGGTTATTGGCATGAATATCCTGACCCTGCTCTCAGGCTGGAGTCAAGACACATTTTCCTTGTCTGGAAACACCTTTCCTTTGTCCTGTTGAGGGACCCTGTGTAATCCACACCGCCCCAGGTGATGTTAGGCGGTGGCCTACTAGGTTTGTTTTTTGTGGCCTGGAATTAGGGTCAGAATCTTCCATCACCAGTCTGTCTCGATGAAACTGTCAGATCACTTTTCCTTTTGTTAAAGGCACGGCAGTTTTCTGCAGGGTTCATCCCTTCACTCTTTGCATCAGGATTAACGTTCACCTGCAGGAGATGGTGAGGGGGTTCACAGCAGGGGTGAGAGAAGGGGGCTTCCTTGGTAGACTGGGGGTTTTTAGCAACGTCCATGCATGGGTTAATAATTTTCACTAGAACTTTTTTTCACAAGTGTGGCAAACTGCTCTTTGGCGATAATTATGTCATCTCCAGGCCTGAAGTAACTTCCCTGCTGTATGACTTTCACCTATTGTCTGGTAAATCATCTGAGATGTAATGTGTTTTGAAAGAACACAATATTATTGTTAGTAATAGTATTTAACATACCTAAAGTGGCTTGTTCAGCCAATTTGGGGGGAAAAAATAGTGATTGACTGTGGAGCAATATAGATCCTTGACAATAGCCTTTAAAGGTCTGTCCACTTCTCTAGTTTACCTGGAATTGCTCCGTGCACCTTCTGGCAGGCTTGGGACAGTGCTGAGACACTTCCAGCTGGGTTTATTAACAATATTGCAAAAATGCTTCAGGTGGAACAAACGCATCCTAAGTTTCTAAGACTGTTCCTTGATCTTCAAGAAATACAGGTTAAACCCTTTGAGTTGTCTTTTTCCCTGTCATTTATTAAACACTGTATCCTAGAGTTCTGCCTCTTTTTAATTACGCATTGAGTTCTGTTTGTGGGCTGTTCTAACTTCTTGGCTTTCTGCTACATAAATCTGACTTTACCCTTTCTGAGAGTCCTGTCTGTGTATTCTTTAAAGGCAGCACACGTTAGCTCTCTTTATTTATTTCATTTTCATTAGAAGTTGTGAGGCTTTAGAGTGAGAGGTTGAGCTTTCGCTTTTGGCCTGAAACCAAAAGTGAACTTCTCCAAAAGATGTTTTGGCACCAAAACATTTCTTCCTCAGGAGGCAAAGCCAGGCAGCGTAGCTGAGAGGGCATTTTGCTGCCATTGCATCTGGGATAGAAATCCACCCTCCATTAAATGGCATGCTTAACTCTGCCTCTCCCTTCCCCCCTCCAGATGTTATGCAATGCAGGAGCCCGGCTGCCTGCACACTGAAGCCCAGCCAGCACCGCAGGTTTGAGGGAGGGGGCTCAGTGGGCTGGTAAGAGTGATTTTAGTGGTAAAGTGAAGTTCCAGGTGTCTACAGCTCTTCGGTGTTATGTGATAGTGTGGCCAGGAGCGTGTCTGAACTTGTCTCGACTCCATCTACCTACATAAGAAACTCCTTTTGAAAACCCTTTGTGCGAAGGTTTTAAAAATAGGGATTGTTTAGGTCACAGGGCTGATGCTGAGTGAGGCTGTGCCAAAATACCTACTTGCAGTCTTCCTAACACACGAACGGCTGTAGGTCTCTGGCTAGATGGTACCAGGGCAGACTATCTGAAAACACAAAAGTTCCTAAGTGTCAGCCTGGCCCTGGCTGGTTTTCAGCAATATGGATTCGTGTTAATGTAAGAGCAGGGGAAATGCTGCACAGAATGTGTGGTTTATTTTTTGTTAACACTCGGTTGAGGCCAATTTCATAAAAGTCTTTATGATTTTAGATTCCTCTAAAGTTGGTATGGAAATTGTACTGTGACAAGGAAGAGAAGTAATTTTTTTTAATTTGAGGGTACACCAACTTTGGAGCAGCTTTAATTCTGTGAGAAAGTGAATTAACTTGATTTGAAATAGCTAGTGGTGCTGGATTTAAAATCCACATGTCAACACAGTTGGCTGTGAAGGGATTCCTAATTTGGAAGATTTAATGTATGGATATCTCAGTAATTTACATGTAATATTTCTTTACATTCTCTTTTTAGCTTTTGTTTAGAAAGCTGAATTTTTATTAGTCTAGTAGGTGTGATATTTAATTGAAATGTGTCAGATAACGACAGTTTCCATTGTGTGTGAGGAAAAAAAAGTTTTATTATTGCGAACCCTAGACACTTTTGATCTGGCTTTCTGGTGAAAAAGGTCTTTTTAAGGTCCTTTTTTTTTTTTTTCAAGATAGTCAGATCTCTTCTGGAGGCCCTCAATTTTTTTCATATGCTGAGAAGAATTTGTAGCTGTATCATGGTTTAACTAGTACCCTAAAGATGATGGTTTGCGTTAGAATATTTATAAGTTTGTGTGAAAATACTACAGAAATCTGCTGTAAAACCTCTTTGTATATAGTGTAAGATGTAGGGCATTGCTGTATGTGTGAGGGGAGCCAAGGTGAGGTAGGGATTAGCTAGTGCTGATACCGATTTTTACATCAGAGATCTGAAATTTTTGAGCATAGCGAGGAAAATGGATCTAACATTCTGTGCACGTGTTTTATTGGTCTTGGAGAACAGACAGAATATTGGCTTTTAACAAAATTAAAATATCCTTATAAATGCATGTTTTTAGCCCTGCGGGTGAGTTCTTTAAATTCTTTATATCGAATAAACCACCTATATTGCCCAGGAGTGGATGCACTTGATGGGGAATCTAAAGACACATTTTAGCTAATAGGTTTTTTTGTTGCTTTTACTCTGACTTTGTATAAGTGTTTAATTTTTGCTTTCTAGCAAAGATAACAGGATGCTACTTTAAATAAAACTCATACCTGTGGATGAAAGCATATCTGTTAACAGCTGGAATAGGGGTACTAGACAGAGAAACACTCGGAGGGTACTTAGGTAAGACATGAGGACATAGAGAATTTAACCTAACAGACTCAACTCACCAGGATTCACACCCGTGATGCATTCCCACAATGGGTAGCACTAGTACTCCTGGTCTGGATTTTTAACCTTCCAAGTGTTTGCAGAACTGACATTACCAAAAAAAAAACAAAAAACCACACACACAAACCCAACCAAACAGCATGCAGATATCCTCCATTGACAGATTTTTTGGACTGCTTGCTTTTCAAAAGCAGCTCTCCAAGTGTATGTCAGGAAAAACTTGGGGTTGAAATGTTTCCTCTCAGCTCAGACACAGGCTACCTACCGCGTGTTGGCCGAAGGATAGTGCCAGTGTGCGCGCAGACTCTTCGCCTCGATGTCCTCGGCTTTCCTGCACTTGCTGTATTTAAAGAGTTTGCGGGTACGATATACCCAGTCATCCTATGGTATGATATTTTCCGGTCTTCCAATAGTTGTGTGTTAAGTTTCAAAGATCTGTGGAAAAAGCATATATAGAAGGCAAACATAAGGATATGCGAAGTCAGGCTGCACAGCTGTGAAGTTTTTGGGCATTACCCGTCAGGATATGAGTACTGAGGAGGAATGTGTGGCCTTAGCTGCTCCTGCCCCATGAAACCTTTGATCGTGTTGTTAAAGCAAAAGCTGTTTTTATTGATTACAGTATGGCTCTGCACGATTGGTCTGGCAGAAGGGTTCAGTACCGCTAACTGCTGCCATTAAACTACCTGTAGTTTTGTTTCAACCCTTGCTTAAACACCAGCAAACCCCCAAGTATTTAACTGATTTCTTAAATCAAAGCCCTGGGTTTATATCATTCTTTAATGCACATATGCATCTCTCCTATTACTGATCACACGCTTCTGATTATAGACCTAAGATGCTGTTAGATTTGTATTTCTTGTGGGGGGAAAAAGTCTATTCTTGTCTGGTCTTTATATAAAGATCTCTTCTTTAGTCCTCATTTGGAAAACCTGACTGAAGTGTGAACAAATTAACTGGGTTTCCTCAGCTGTTTGAAGGCAATGTTTTTGTTGCTGTCTAGTAAACTAATCAGCTCCTATCAGAGAACTCCACCTGATATTCAGTGGATGGTCTGTCTTGCTACATTTGCTGAGTTTCCTCTTTGTCTCCACATGAGAGAAGTTGAAGGTAGGGTAAAACAACAAACAGTAGCATTTTATCTTTCCCGCAGCTAGTGAACATAAGCCCTTTGGTGTTCCTATGGGCATTGCTGGATTTGCCACAGTGATTATTGTGCCATGGTGAGTGGGGAGTTGGGGGTATGTGTGCTTTACCTCCGAAGAGTTCAGGGGTCCCTGCTGTCTGTGTTTTTTCTGCTCTTTGTCTCTGTCTGTGGGACTCCCGTGACATCCCTTTTGCTAATACACATTCAGATAAATCTGAGGAAAACTTCCTCACTGCTCTGTGTAGACCTCAAGCTTAGTCTAAATGCTCCTTTCCTTTGGAGAGGGCAGTGGGGGGAATTCTGGTGTCATGGAGGAGGCAGGAAACCTGAGACCTGATCTTTAAAGTCAATCCTCCTCCTTCCCTGGAAACCTCTTAGGGTTAGTTCAGTACTCATCCAGGCGTCTGGTAGGGAAGTGACAGTCGTGGATGGGAAGTCATGTTTCTTTGCTTCTCTTCTTCCTAGATCATGTGATAAAAACAAAACAATCTGGTATTCTTTGTGTCTCAGTACATAGGAAGTTTCTAAAGTAATCTAGGTCTCAATGTGACTCTGCTCAGATTAGTGTTTGCAGGTGGTGACCAGTTGAACTGAATGTGGTGGGAAGGGGGAAGCACTTGGTTTAAAAGCTCGTTTGAATTTTGATAAAGTCTAGTGGTAGGGAAGTGGGAAGATGAGGATTTAAACTTGATGACACCTTACTCTTAAAAAAATAGATGAACTGCAGTCCTTATAGGCAGAAAAGACACCAAAGAAATGGGTCTAGTAGCTCTTTTGGTACTATTCCCAAAATGCCAGAATGGACTGGTGACCCCTGAGCTGTGGCTGCTGTGAACATGGGGTCATTCGTACCCTGCGGCTGGGGAGCAGAGTTCTTAAACTGCTTAATCCATTGTGGCTAACTCACAGTGTAGTGGGTGTCACCTTAGTACATGTGAGCTGCTGTAGACTGTTGCATCTCTGGCCGCGACTGTCCCCTGGTGCTAGTAAAAAAACCCCAAAATTATAGAATTAAACAACTGAAAAATATTTTCTTTGACAGTTTTTATTTAGTGCGTTAAAAAAAACCCACACTTCTTCTCCAGAATAACTCAAATATTTGACCTGATTATTTTGAATGGAAGATAGACTTTAAATGTATTGTATTTTTAACCACACAATATGCTATAATTAAATTGTGCTTTATCCAAGTTACAAAACGTTTAAAGATTGGGTGCGTGTGAAACAGCAGACAACTGTAGCAGAAGGAATTGGGTACAATATAATTTTAGTCCAGCTGGACTGCCTTACATGCCTGAACTTGTTCTCAGACAGTTTCTGTAGCCTAATCCCCCTTTACTTTAATGCAGACAATTATAGATTGGTGACATGGTTTATGCTGAGGAATTAGCAGTTACAGAATCTTTTGCGTACTGGCAGCTCTTGATGACTTTCCAATGGGAAGAGCTGTTGCCTGTTTTCAATGGCAGCAAGTAGAGAGCAGCTCCTGCTGTGACATTCTCAAAATATTTTACCCCACACTTAAAGCTCCTGACCACCTGCTTTGGGAGGGTTCAGCTGCTGGGGCTGGCTGGGTGGACTTGTGCTTACAGCAGCACCGTAGTGTTGATCCTGTTGTTGAGACCGCTTGCTGGTGGTTGGCAAGGTCCCATTAAGGGTTAAATTGACGACGTGTGTGCTTCTATGTCTGTAAAAGCCTGCTAAAGGAAAGTTATTTTCTTTGGTGGTTTGGAGTGCCCTGCAAATGGTGTGCAGCTTCTGCAGCCTCTCAGTTTCTTTCCTTGTGCTGCCCCTGCAGAGAGAGCACAGTGTTGCTTCTAGTCACCACAGGTTTCTGTCGTCTTCCTGGAACATCCCGCTTGTGTTTGGAACTGGCTGTTTTCAGCTGAGACAATGAAATGTTTTTCTGTGGCCTCATGTGAGAAAATACATACGCTTTGAATTAGCCAGCTTTTTTCCTCTCCTTCAGCTGTGTAAGTTCAGCTTAAAGCTTTCAGCTGCTCTCAGTGGTCCTTTTGGATCATCTAACATCTCCTAGGGTAGTTCCCCAGCCTCATGGTTTAGTGTAAGAGAGGGCAAGAATGAAGATAACTGATAAACAGATTTTTCTTTCTGAAATGTCTGTTGAAAGCTATTCAGTGTTTAAAATTCTAGTCGTTCAAAACATCTTGAGACTTTCCACTTAACTGCCATGTGTCATCTCTATTGAAAATGTTTGAATTGAAAACTCCAGGTAGAGGTGCTTCCCGGTGGTGTGATGAGTGCATCTCTTCCCCCCTCCACAAGGCATCTCCTACTTCAGAAGCAGTCGGATAGCTGTTTGAGATGGCCTGGCCCATAGTGTTATCAATCCCATTCCCCAATATCTGGAGCAAATAAAATCCAAAGTTGATACTGGAGACTGAGAGACAAAAAGGGTGGACTTAGCATGGCCTCATTTGGGTGTCCTCACTGTACATATTTTAGTCTCTCCCACCTGTATCATGCAGAGATGTTCCATTATTTAGGAGTGAGAAATTATCCATCTGCTGCACTTGTTCTCTTGCACATTTCTTTCTGGTTTTAACAATAGACACTTTATTATGGTGCCTGGTTACACATTGCATTTGGAGAATGAGAGAGAGGTCTGTAAAGGTTAAGAACCCAGTTACAGAAAGAGTACAAGGTGTTCTGTGTAACGTATTATGTTCTTGAGATTTTACTGTTCTTTTATATCACTGCTCAGTTTTTGCATTGCATGTTTCCAGGAGAGTAACACCTGAGTTGCTTTTCTCATGACAAAAAAAATATTGGACCATATGTGAGTGCTGAGGACATGCAATGAACATACATTACAGCTTGGACGCTTGCCTGGCTTTTCTCCACCGACACAGAAGGAGAGAAATGTAACTTGGTGTTCATTTTATTACGGTTGCTCTGCACAGCAAAGTGACCGAGTCCATTTGTCAAAGTGGTTTCTACTTAACTTAATAAATGTCCTCTACTTGCTGTCTGTGTATGATCTAAGGGCTACATCCTGTGTGAAATTCTAAATTGAAGGCTAGCTCAGTATTGCACTGGGAAGTTGAGCCTTTTGCTTTTTCTGCCAGCTCAGGAGAATTGGAGCACTGGAAAATTTCATCCGTTACCTGGTGATAAGTGGGGTGGCTGTAGGAATGGGCAGGACCCCGTAAGAGTAAAATTTGCATGCTGGACTTAGAGCTTAAACTTTGATTTGGTTTGGATTTTTACTCCTCAAAAATATTTATTTCTTTAAAACAATAAATCTTTTTTTTTTGTATCTTTCATCCAGAGTTTGACAATAAATGAAAACTCACAGATTCCTTTAACCTTTACAGTGAAAATTTGAAGTTGTTGCTTTCTACTGTGTTACTTTTGGGCAGATTTCTCATGTGTCGCCACATACATTAGACAACCAACTTGCACATCATAAGGGATTTTTTAGAGTTCAGATCTTTAAGCTGCTGGATTCAAAACAAAAGCAAAATACCATTCCTGGTGTCAGCCATGCACGATGGTTGGTGGGAGAGGTGTGTGGGAAGGTTACAGCTGCTGGATGATAGGCGATTCCTCCCATTCACTTTCCCTCTACCTGTATTGAGATGAACTGTTTGCCAGGACTCTAATGTCCCTTGTCTCATAGGCTAGGATGACCTGCTTGTAGTGCTTCCCTTCCGAGATGCTTAACTTGTGTATGTTGAAAAAAATCATACGTTTTATTGGTAACAGAAGGATTAGGTATTGTGCACATGCCCTGCTGTGCATAAGGCTGCAGTCACTAAGCCTCAGGGCTTCGGTTTCCTGTGCTCCTAAAAAAGAATCTGATTCAATTAGTGAAAAAAATATTTCCAATTACCTGTATATTGCTTTTTGTTTGCACAACAGTTCGGTTGTATAAGGAGGCTTCTCGTTTGTGAATTGATTGGGAAGAGTTTCTTTTATTTTTAATACTGCGTGGTGACCTAGTTAATTGGGAGTAATTACTGTCTAAATATATTGGTTTAACATAACAAAAGGCTGTCTGGAAAAAAACAGGGAAGGGAAAGAATGGCTGAAGATAAACCACTTCTTTGCACACACTTAAGAGTTGTTAAGGGACATCTCCAGAGCTATTAGCAGACAAGGTTTTAACTTCACTCTTGTAATTTAGCTCCTGAGGCTTGAAACAAAGCAGCAGAGCAAAATAATTGATCGGAAAAGGAACACTTTCTCTGGTTCTGCCGGTAGTGTTTTGTTGGAAAAGCACTTGACAAGAGTCTTGGGATGCCCCTGGGGAGGAAGGAGTGGGATACCCAGAGTTAGAACGGTTTTGGTTGATAATATGGAGCTATAATCTTTTTCTGTTGCCTTCTCCCATCTCCCTTTCCAGAATCTTGCTCTTAGGACTAAAATTGAGCACCGTGTTGATTGTAAGTAGGCTCACCTGGTCACTGGGGTGACTTCTGATTGCAGGCTTTTTTCGGGAGTTGGAGGCTAAATCCCGTCAGACCAGCTCTGCACAAACTGTTGCAGTTCAGGACTGCTCTAAAAATGGGAAAATTGCTTAATTTAGGAAAGGTGAGGAGGGCCTGACACCTGAAGGGCTATGTTAAGAAAGAGATGTATGGCCATCCCTGTAATTAGGAGAGATCGTGTAAATTACACTGGCTGGATTTGGCGTGCTCATCTTCCTTTCAACTTTGTTTGGTTTATAATGGTAATTTATCTCGTATGGCAGAGAGCAAAGGGGTAGTGGGGTGCAAGTCACACCTCAGAGGAGTAAAATAAAGTAGGCATGAATGTGTTAGCAGAAGCGTTTAGATGAGAACTCCTTCCTCTTGGAGATCTAGCTCTTCGTTCCTGGCCCTGAAGTATCTGCAGTTGGTGCTGTGCAGTTACAGCTGGGGCACAAGGGTAAAGACCTAAAAAAATATATGTGTGTGTATAAAAATATAAATATATATAGATAGATAAACACAAATTTCAGGGCCTTAAGTGTGTTTGACCTTGAAGCACTCTTCCTCATTAAATGCTCACATTTGCTTGCAAAACCCACTAAGGTTGTGCCTGTAGTAGGAAGGCAGAGCAGCAGGGTGTGTTACTTGGTCTCAGTAACCTGCAAATAATCAGGTTGCAAATAGTTTGCAAATGGCACTCATTTTCCCCTGGCAAAGTACTGCATTTAAATTGGTAGTTAGGGGTTGGTTTTGGGGGTAGGGACCAGAGGGGAAGCATGGTCTCTTGAAAGAGTGCAGACAAAGCTAGCAGTGATATGTTGCTGGCTTTGCTGGGAGTGAAAGGAGAGAACACGACTAAAATGTGAGCGCGACGGGTATCTCTTGCAGCAGAGCGGTGCCATACGGCCTCTCAGTGGCTATCTCTTAGGTTTGTCTGTGTCAAAGAACTTGAACTTAAGTCAGATTTGCTTTGTCATCCTGACTTTGGCTCTTGTCGCTTTCAATTTCTCTTTAGTTTCTGGAAGCTTCTTTTTAATTCTCTAGTGGGAAAGCCAAGATGTACCCGAACAGGCAAAAGGGCTCACCCCAAACAAAACCCACTGCACCTTGATCCAGAGAGTGGGAACAACAAGGTGGGTTTGTGACTATCTGATCACAAAAGGGTGACAAATCTGTTCTCCTGCATGTGTTCTTCTTTAGTTAGTTTTTAACTAAACGCTGCGGAGGACTGGAGCTGTTTCCCAATGGCAAAGCAAGCAATGAAACATGACACAGGGAGGGGAAGAGAGCTGGCAGAGGGCCTGTGTGCACAAATAGCCCACTACCTTTTGAAGCCTGTTTACAGCCAAGCAAACAAAAAACAGTGCAGGCTGCCTTGCAAAGAATTACAGTAGAAATCCTCCCCTTGGAACTTTTTTTTTCCCTCTCCGTGTCAATAAAACATTATTAGTACTGACTCCAGAGTCATAACTCAGGAGATGTTGTGGTATGTCTGACAATGTATTTATGGAGTAGTGGATTAAGAAGAGAAAGAGCTGTATCGCTGTCTTTCGTAGCTCTTGGGATACCTTTTGCCTTGGATTGCTGTAATACAGGAAGAAATCCTAGTGAAAACTAAACTCTAGATCATAGTGTTAGCTGGTCGAGCGAACAGGAGTCTCTTGGCACAGCCCTCTTGTGAGTTATGTAAATCTTGTGCAGCGTATAAGCAACAGGCGGTTGGTGACGTAAAGCTGAGCATTTGTCTCTATTTATTGGCTAATGTGACATGCACCCTTCCTGTAGCATTTGACTGAGCTGGCGGTATTAAATATAGCCCTGACACTCCTAAGGAGAAAATGCCTCCAGCTGAATAATGGTTTCTGGTCTGAAATTCATCGTTCTAAATGTGGAAATCTTATATGGTGGCTCTTTTGTTTCCCCTTCGTATCAAAGTCTGTTCCATGTTCATGGCAAAAGGTCTGGCTCCAAGCCTCGGTTTGCTGAATTTGCCGATCGATCACTGTGGCCATGTTGTGCAGAACGTTCCTCCAGTGCCTCCGAACGCACTTGGCTATGCTCTGGGAGACTTTGCAGGATGGCAGTAACTCCTGCGGTTAGTGCAGCGTGATTATCTTCTGTCATTTGTGATAGATTACCAAACTGATACATCTGTTGTTTAGGTCCTCTCCCAGCTGCCCCCATCACGGGTGGCTCGCAGATCTGCATAATGCTGCTGTTACCCCCTGTGACCCACGCTCCAAGTGCTATTAGCTGTTACACTTCGGGTCCCAAATTACTTTTGGTGAGGAGAAAGCAGTGATAGTTCTTCCATGCAGTTCTCATTTTATCCAGAATGTCTGGTTTTATTTTTTTTTTCCCCTTGAAACACTGTAGGAACTGAACAGGAGGCAGTTTCTTTGCTCACTGTTTCAAGCCTCTTTCCAGCTGGCAAGCAGTCCAAAAAAGCCCTATGTTTGCTTTTTCTCAGGGTCATGCTCCAAATGTTTCTCTTGTTTTCACCTTGGCTTTCTGGCTTTGATTTAGACACATGACACTCCACCACACAATACAAACCCTCAGTATATCACTAGCCACATATAGCCCAGCTTCTGGGTAGCCTTCTGCATGCCTTTGGTTTAGGTGGTGGTTCCCAGGTCTTGAAGTTGTGTTGTTTTTGGTTTTTTTTTTCTGTTTCTATCCTGCTCAAAAAAGACACACAGATTGTTATAAGTGTGAATAAAAAGCAGTTGTTCTGCCCATTGCTTTTGGTGAGATTTTACTCATCTCCATTCTCACAGCACCCACTCACAACATGTAAATCAGGGCCACAACCTCACAGACACGCACAAACAGAGGAATTATATGACTTGCCAAGCACCTACATAATAATAGTATATCGTGGAACAGCAGCTGAGCCTCATGAATCCTCTTCCTGTTTGACTGCTCCTTTTTTTCAAATTAATTATCATATGAGTTTTGGCTACACCACAATTCAGGAATCAATAGCATTTGTGGCTTTCTGAACATCCTTAATATATCACAGACTTCCGCTGTCATTTGTCTGCGTTCAGTAAGAACTTTTGACTCAGATGGTTTATAACTTCCTTTGAGCTGTGACTCTCCAGAGCCGAGCAGGCACTTTAATGATTAATAAATAGTCTCAGAGTTCTTGTGGCTTATGCGTGACCGTATGTTTCAAAGCAGCAAGGCTTGAGTTATTAGCTGTAGCTACTGATGCCCTTTGGCCCTGAGAGTTATCATAAGAGCATTCTTTGTGTTTTGTTCATGTTGTGCTCCTTTCAGACCTTTTGTGCCAAAATAAAACGGAGAGGTTCAGTCCTTCTGAAATTAGCTCAGGAAACAAGGCTGGTATAAAGAAGCTGCCCTGATGTTTACGTACTGAGGGATGTGCTATGCAGCAGCATCCCCTGAACTTTTCAGCAAATTTCCTGAAGAGCTAATGGGGTAGAGGTCTCCAAGACTCACAATTTCCAAGATTTCCAGTGAAAATAACAAGCAGAGTAGAAAAGTGGTCTGAAATAGTGTCCCTGGCCAGTAAAATGCTGTATTTTGAGCTCTGTTATCTTGGAGAATCCATGTGTGGTAGAGATAAAAGCTTTAAAAAAACATGAGCAGCAGAGCTAATATAGTCTGGATAATATTTCTGCTTAACTGTTTAGAATGACATATGTAAACCCATGAAAAGGACTGTGCTCTAGGTTGTAATCTGCTTTTTTTCTTGCTTTCTAGGAATCTACAAGCTGCCATTGGAGCCTACTATGATTTTGAGAGTCCAAATATCAACGTACCCTCCATGTCCTTTGTTGAAGATGTCACCATAGGTGAAGGAGAGTCCATCCCTCCCGATACCCAATTTACAAAAACATGGAGGATACAGAACACAGGTAAGGCATTTGGACTGTAGGAAAACCCGTGCAGCGTGTATTGTGCGATAGGAGGGCAGATCTGATGGAAGAGATGCTGGCTGAAGGCAGGAGGTTCGTGTGCACTTAGCTTGGAATAGGGCCACCCTGTCACTGTGGGAGGTAGCCTGCCAACCCACGTGTGTTCCCCTCCTTACATTGGCACAAACGTTCTGTAGTGAGATGTGCAGCTCAGTTCACCAGTCTTGTTCCTCGTGCCACCACACAAACAAAAGCTCTAGAATGAACTTCTAGATAAAAGAAATTGGAGCACAGGTTGGTTTTTTGTTTGGTGGGGTTTTTTTTGTGGTGGAAGTAGTTAGATCTGAAAATAGATTAAGAATCCTTAGCTAGTCATGTTTCTTGTGGTCACTTCATGCAAACAGGTGGGATACTTTTTAAGTCAACAATGAGATCCCTTGTAATCTCAAAGCCTTTTAGCTCATGACCAGCCTGTATATCACCACTACCCCTCATCACACCATTTCTCTGACCGTCCCTGTCGTTTGACCGTTTGGCTCTCTACAGAACTGTGTTCTCTGTGGAGGGAGTGATGCAATGATGTAACTCTGAGAAGAGGTAGCGCTGCAAGGGCTGTGTGGCAGGTACCCTTTACTTTTTAATGCACTTTTGACAGAATTGATTTCATGCTTTGAGAGGATGTGAGGCTGGAGAGACCACATTCCAGTATGAAATAAGTCAAAACAGTGACTGGAATCCAGGAAGTGAGACTGGGTAAAATACATTCTCGGTCCTTGATCTGTTGGGATGTAGGCAGAGAGAAAAATGAGATCCACGGATGCGGAGTGGAATACTTTGTCTTCAGGTGTTGCAATGACAGGATGTTGCATGAATGTTTAAGCTGTGTGTCTGAATTTAATTGACCTGCTTGTACTTTAGTGAAGAACAACAATAGCACAACAAGGTATAATATCATGAATTGTCGTGAGTTCAGCTGTGTTCGTATTTCTACTTATAACTGCGGTACTCGAGTGCTGTATAGATTTGTGCTGAATATCAGCATAGCAGAGACTAAAACCTAGGAGAATTTCATCAGGACATGAGAGGTGAGAAGAGGAAGGGTGTGTGTTTAAGAACACTAATTTATGAAGATTGTATTCTACAGAAAGGGATTAATTATTTTAGTTTACTTTTTCTGCCTCTGTTTGTTTGACTTAATACAATAGAAAGGCAATGTGTATCTTGCTTAAACTCCAGCAGTGTGAAAAGTTGACTGGCTTTTTTTTATAAATGTGTCTCATACAAGTCTTACAAATGTAGTAAGTTTGACAGATATTGCTTCTCCACTATTAGTACCTTAATCTGTGTGTTATGACTACACCCCTATCTTGCTCCTTTCAGACTCGTTCCTCTCTTGTTCCTGTAATGCACTCTTCCCTGCATGCAAATTCGGCCTTAATTTAACATCTTAAAAAAAAAAATTAAACATTGCTTGAACTAAATGTTTGACCTTTTGAAATCCCTGGGTCTTCTAAAATGAGGAAAGGGAGTTAATCTTGACTTAGGAGTTCCTGGCAAGGCCAACATTTGTTCTGGCTTCTGTGTGGGTTAAAGCCTGACTTCTTAAAAAAAGTACATTTGTATTCTACCAGTGGTGCTGGAGGCCAGATCTTGTTAAAACCATGCTGTTGAGGCATGTTTTAGTTAAATGCAACTTCACATACTGTGTTACGACTGTGCAGTTTAAGGAGGACCATAGCTTTTTTAAACCATTTTATGGTTTAATTAAGGTATAATATCAAAGGACTATGGTGTTTCTAGATATTATCTGCTTGTTAGGTATATAACTGAAGCAAAGCCAAGGTTTTTAACAGCTCTGTAGGAACCCTTGATTAAATTACTTCAGTTCTAGAACATGAAATACCTGAGGCATGTGTCACTGAAGCGTTTAGTGTCTGACGAGTATGACAGGCAGAGCTCTGAGAGGTTGTCAGTTTCAAGTGTTCAAGCAGTAAGCAAGGTTCAGTCAGGTTTTTGTATGTGTTATTAAAAACTAATACCCTGCTCTGATACCTTCCAGGACAGTGCTTGGCTTGTCTGCCAAAAGACCAGTTTGTGTAGTGGAACCATTGCTGCAAGAACAGCAGGATTTAAGACTTATTTCCTCTTCCCGCTCTAGCCCCAGCTGCTGCTGGCTCTGCAGGACAGTTACTACAATTTATCATCTCCTGAGAGATGAGTGTACTGAAATAGAATGACATAATCATCATTTCATTTTATGGGGCTTATCAGTTGCAGTGTTCTAGGCACCTTGCAAGCCTAAAGCCATTAAAACCAATAAAAATCACATAAATTATTTAAACTAAACCATGTTGCTGGGCTGCCAACCTTTTCAGATGAGACTTCATACTCCACTCCCACATGCCATGGTCTGAGGTCAGCTCCTCTTTCAAAGACCTCCCTCTCTCAGTGCTGTTTCCAACTGTAGTGATACATCTCCCTCTCCGAATATCCCACTTTACTTGTTCACATGATGCTTTCCCTGCTAGATTGTGAATTCCACAAATAAGGACTTGACTAGAAAGCCAGTACCTGCCATGTCTTCAGTGATGTATCCACAGGGATTAAATTAGCAGGCAGGCTGTTGGGAAGGATGCTCTTTGGGGTAACGTAAGGTCAGATCAGCATCCACTGTTCTCGTCTCAGGCTAGGCATAGAGGGGTTCCACGCTTCTTGGTGGTTCAGGCTTTCTTTACATGTTTCCATCGACCTCAACCAAGCAGAAGGTATTCTCAAAGTCGTTGGCTTAGTCATGTCACGTTACTGGGGAAGAAGCAAAAGAAAGTTCTGCTAAACTGATTTTTCACAGGTCTCAGAAGCACTTTGCTTTTTGTCTGACCCAGTACGTGTTATCTTTGGTGGAGACGGCTGTGCTTGCCATGCAGTAACTGTTTTCTGTATCTCTACAGATTGCCAGGTCACGCTGTCAGTCCCAGTATCTGCAGTCTAAACACTGATCTCCACAAATAAATCATATGTTCACAACCTTTCCCACCTTTGCATAAGGCTGAGAGAAGGGTTGGTGCAAGAGAGGAAATAAATCCACTTGGAAAATAGTGCTAGCTCTTCAGTTATAGTTCAAACTATTAGTTCCTCCTGAGCCTGCTAACAGGCTTTAAAAAAATGAATCCTTGAAAGAAAATGTTTCCAGCACTTTGTATTAATAATATGGGGGGTTTTTTTGCGTTTGTTACACTATAACTTTGAGAATTTTTCTGTGTAAAGAAAACCTAGAGGTGATTCAAATAGAAATATAAATTGTCCTGCTGGTCTGTAAATGGACCACTTACGCCTTGTCTGAAAACTCTGTTCTTATTCTGCATCCATTGCTGTGTTATGTGTATCTTTGTTCAATAATTGCACAACTGTTTAATATGTATGTTTCAAACAGACACAAAGCTTTCTCTGGTGCACCTTCAGTAATTCATTCTTCTGTTTAATTCCAGGGACAGAGGCGTGGCCCCCAGGGGTTTGTCTGAAGTATGTCGGGGGAGACCAATTTGGCCACGTAAACATGGTGATGGTCAGGTCCCTGGAACCCCAGGAGATTGCAGACGTCAGCGTTCAGATGTGCATTTTTTTGGAATGTATCAGGGACAGTGGCGAATGTGCACTGCCACGGGACTCTATTACGGAGGTGAGTGATCCTTTTCCCAGCACTTCAGGTTCTTCTACTTGATATTCCCAGCGCAGACAAAATGGACCCTCCCAGCCCCGTGCGGGTGCTCTGCTGATAACTAAAGGGTGAAGGTAGAGGTCTGCCAGCCCTGAGCCTAAATATAGAAAATAAATAGAGAAAACATCAAGTGAGCTGTTTTGTTGTCTTGGTCAGCACAGAACTGTTTTCTAAACACTGGAACAAATAGCAGATTACAGAAAGCTCTGAAAAACAAAGGGACTTGCGCAGTTCTCCTGGGGACTCTTTCCAAGTCGGTCCTTGTTGGGATTCTTTCACACTTTTCCAGTGTGGAACATTGTGAACTACATACGGGCATGAAAATCTATTTAAGTGGTGAAAACCCCATCTGAGAAGTTTAGTTAAGGCCCAGGTTTTAATGGTGTAACTCGGTGCATCTACTGTGAACCATTCTGCTGTGTTTCAAAACCACTTTTGATGTTTTGCCTGGTGCCTCAGCCTGAGCCACCAACATCTTCATTCATTGGGAGCCTTTCGGTTGTTTTTAGCCAGCTTTAGTTTAGACTGAGAACATCTTTGTGTCTGTTTTGGCAGTTGGGAGTATCCCAAGTTACAGGAGTTTTGAGAGATGGTAGCACTTGGAGTCAAAAATAACTCTTTGCTCAGAAGTACAGGGTTTTTTTGGCAGAACTGACAGTGAACGCGTGACTCTTCGGTGTCAGAAGAGGATGTGACTTGTCCCTGGAGAAAGGGCAGGGATTCCTCCGCGCAGGTGGAAAGGCCTGTTCAGCTTGCGCTGCCTGCTGCAGACCTGTGTGTTTACAAAGCCGAGCTTTTCCCAGCCGCTGACAAACACTTTAAGATCTCACCAAGCTTCCTCAAGTTGTACATTTTGGAAGAAAACGACCCACAAATCAAAATCCCTTTGGCTACCGAGCTTCCAGTCCAAGATGCCCTTCCCCTGCGAGGAATCGTTATCCCCCAGAGGTTAGACCCAACAGCTGAGTGAAGGCCTGCTGAGCAGCCGGGACTGTCTCCCGGTGGTTTTTCCTCCCACCACGGCTTTGATAGCCCCCGGCGGCTACCGGGGCGGGCGGGCGTTGTGCCGCGGGCGGCCAGCAGGGGGAGCC